AAAAAAAAAAAGGCACTGCCAAAGAGAGAAGGAATTTCCCATACCAGGAGCTATTTCTTTATTGACTGGATGACTTCTTTAGAAAGAATGTTCCATTCATAAACCTGTGGAGCCTACCTGTGCCAGGTGCCATGCCAGTGCAGAGTGGTGAGCCATGCAGGCACAGTGTCTCCTCTGGAGCTTGAAGTCTAGTGGTATATCGAGGCATTACACCAGTAAACACTTAAACATTATGGCAAGTTGCAGGAAGCACCGTAAAGCTATAATAGAGGGATTCTTTACACTGAGTAGCCAGGAAGGGTATAACAGATGACATCTGTAACTAACAAAACCTTGATTATTTTGAGTACTTGGAGATCTTTTTATCTTAGGTGTGAAGGTCTCTACCCAATGCAGGGGATGACGTGAATTTGCTCTAAGCTGTCACTGAACTCTTGTTTACCTTGGCCAGTAATTGATTGTGATGAATGCCAGGTAATCTATTTCTGGTCAATAAAATGAAAGTCAAGGTCTTATGGTTCGGTGTTTGCTATGGTTTGGATGAGTGTCTGCCAAAGGCTCATGTGTTAAATATTTGGTCTGCAGGTCATGGCATTGTGCTCTGGAAAGGAATTATGGGACCTTGATCTCTTCCTCATTTTCCCAGCGAGGCCCTAAGGTAAGCAGTTTGCTCCAACACACACTCCCTGTCATGGGGCTAAGTTCTCTCTGTAACCCCAGCTCAGTCAGTGGTTATGAGGAGAGTGCTAAGTTAAGATGTTGATTCCATTCTCCCTGGCACAAAAAAGTGACACACCTCCATTTCATACCTTTGCTTACAGAGATGAAGATATAATTTTTATTCCCCATTCCTTTTTATCCCCGGCTGTTGATAAGAATTCTGTTTCCTTTACAAATATTTCTTCCTCTCAGACATTAATACAGGAATTCCTCTGAGGGATTGTCTTAGGAGAGGTTGCAGGGGATAGATAAGATTATTTGTTCACTGATAATAAATGGGCAAGGATTGTCCATTTCTCAATCTTTCTGAGGCTCTATCAAGGGAGAAGATTTTACTCTCAGTCTCAGCAAGAGAGAAACTACTGGGGAGGTCAAAAGGAATCTTGTTAGGAACGGAAGCCATATTTATTAGCTGCCTCCCAGGTTTGCTCTCGTAGGACCTTCAGCCTCCTGAAATTTATTCTTTTCTGGGAACCTGAGGAACATATCTCAATTGTGCTCTTAAAGAAGTCCTCTTGGCTGCCTTGTCAAAGGCACCTTGTTTCTTAGTCTCCTTGGTGATTCCCTTTGGTGAAGTCCATGATGCCTGTCCTTTTCCAGGGTGTCTTCATTGGCTGGGCTGACCTTGTCAGTGATTCCAATACCCTGGGAATCCCTACCACTTCCTCTCTCTGTTTTTACCACAGTTTGTCGTATGAGGACCAACTCCATGTCACTTTCATCCTATGGCTCACAGTGTAAGTGGGAGAGCAGCTCTTGGAATATTTCCTTGCTCTGAGTTTCTCAACCTCCTCAACTCTCAGATGAAAACCCATGAGGGACTTGGCTAAGGGCAGATCTGAGTGACAGCAGCCTCTTCCTCCAAGCCCCCCACAGTGACTCTGAGTTGTCCCTCCCTTTAGATCTCTCAGATGTACCATAGGATCACATCTGGGAGCTTGGCTTCCCTGTCCATTAGGATTTACCACTCAGAAGGCTTCCAGATGTTCCTATTCCTGTTCAGAGCGTGGTCCAGAGGAAAACAATCCTGACTTGGTGAAGATCATTAGGAAGGATGCTTCAAGCTGAGAGAATGGCATACAGTCAAATGTGTGGAAGAAGAGACCGTGTTTTGGGAGCGGTAGGCTGAAAACTGTAGAAGGCATGGAGCTTCTGAAGTTTAGAGGACTGAGATTGATGAATGGGAATTAGTTGTGCTCTGAATTGGAGCCCCAGACCCAGGCAGTAAGGAGTTGGTGGCAGTTTTTCAGCAAGGGCATAAGGCAACACAGCAACTGGAACAGCAGGGCTCCAAGATGAGTCCCAGTGATTCTTGCCGTCTGGTTCTCATGCTTTTGTGTAGTCCCTTCCCACCCGAATATTGAGGAATATGATGGTCAGTGTTTCTAGTGCTTTTGTGTTTATTCATGGATACACACAGGGTATCGAAAGATTTGAGTCACCCAGCACTCACTCTCCCAACTGAGGTCCCATAAAGCTGTGATGTGAGCAGAGATCAGTGCTCATAAAGAGATAAGCAGAGAGTGGAAACGGCAGGGACACTGCAGTGTAGTGCAGAAAGCTCAGCTCTGGCTTGAATCCCAACTCCGCACTGGGTAGTGGAGCGGCCTCTGCAAAGCATCCCATTTCCAAACCTTATTTTTCTTTTGTAAAATCAAGACTATAGGATCAATCAGAATGAGTCCATTTTAGGATGAGAGATTATAATTTATGTGACATATGTGTGTATGTATATGTGTTCACGTGTATTTATACATGTAAATTAATATCTCCTAGATTATAAATACATATAGATTGTATTATGTGTGTATATACAGTATATGTATGTGTGCATATATAATAAGATTTAGTTATTTATTTCTCCAGAGTAGTGTTCAGAGTGACTATAGAAGATAGCTATTGTAAATAATATAATTCAGCTGTATTCTGGTCTGATCCAGTGGTGAGCATGCTATTCTGTCTGCCACTACAAAAAAATGACTAAAATGGAGAAGTCCTGTGAATGGCATGTGCAAGGCTAGAAAATTTGACAAGGACTCAGAAGAGGTGAGCTGAACATTATTTTTCAACTGAGTAAAGTGAAGTCAGAGCAGCCATCACAGCAGTGGTTGGGTTAGACATCCTGGAACCAGACCAGTGAGTAAAGTTGTGAGAACTTGCTCTAGGCAAATTGAATTTCAATTCAACAAATACTATTTTATTATATTTTCTCAGCTCCTGCTAGATTTAAGGACTAACTCTGTGGATTTCAACCTGGCAGAGGCACAGCAGTATACAGTGAGCCCCCTCGGGTGATGCTGCTGAATTTTTGTCTATGTAAACAATTTGTAATTGCTATGTTTTTATAATGAGCATCGCTGTTATTCCAGCGAAAGCTGTAAAAACACAGAGTTGAGTGATTTGTGTGATGAGCTGGACCTCAGGGCACAACTGGCTGGGATAGAAAAGGTGGTTCACCAAGACAAATAGACAAAAACCACATGAACACCAGCATGCTTCCTGATGAATTGGAAGAGTGCTGACAGGAGACGATGCTAAAGGGAAATCAAATAAGCAGAACAGTAACTTGACACAATCCAGTACCTTCAAGTATCTCCAGAAGCTCTTATAATTTGAATAAATGAATTTGCTGAATCATAGGACATAATACCAAACAGCTTTCCAAAGTTTTGGTGCCAATTTACACTTCCATCAACATTGCTGGTTACAGTTTCTCTATACCTTCATCAGCAGTTGGTATGATTGGGCTTTTCAATGGGAGCTTGACTTCTGATTGGAGAATCTCAAGGGCACAGAACACAGAAGTTGCTCTTCACTGGCTCTATACAAATTTTAGGGTTTTTTTTTTTCTAGTATGGTAAAGAATGCTGTTGGTATTTTGAGTGGGATTAGTCCAAGGAATCCTGAGCAACAAGAGCAAAGCAGGAGGTTTGCCAAATAAACTCCTTCCCCTCCAACTTTAGGTGTCATTTTGTCTCAGCAATGAGAGAAAAGTAATTAAGACAATTAACTGAATTTGTTTGTTTGTTTGATGCTGGTGATTGGACTCATGTTCTCATGTATGCTAAGAGCATGCTCTACTACTGAGATACCCCTCCCAGACTCGAAACTATGAGTTGCCCAAGGCAGCTCTGTTCCAAGCTGAGAATTAAGTTCATATCTGCCCCATGTGTCTCATTCTGGACCTGATATTCAGTGGTATCGGTGACCCATGGTCCTGTCATGGTGGAGGTTAGAATTTCCCAAGGTAGTAGACAGAAATATGACACCTCTTAAGACACGTGTTTGGAATGGGCATATTTTCATTTCCTCTCATATTTCATTGGCCAAAGCAAATTATATTAATTATATAAAGATCAACATCAATGAGTGTGGCATATCATTCCTCTGGGTAAATGGGGTAAAGAGAGAAAGTATTTGTTTAAGAGTAATTTTGTCTGTTGCAGCGGGGTTGGGGAATCCTGAAACATGGAGAGTATCAGCCTGGGAAGGATCTTGGAGGCCATAGGAGGAAACGAGTGGGAATGGATGAATCCAGAGAATGGGGTGGTCTTTGACTTTGGGGGAAGTAGAGAGTCAGAGCCAAAGCCACAGAATTGAAAAGAGCAGTGAAATCCCAAAGGCCAGTGGTGTGTCCAGGAGGAGCAGGAGCTGAAGGAAAGACATTGGTGGATCCAGGATTTTGCCTGCGAGCCAACAGCATTTTGGAAGAACCATGCTGCCTAGTGTAAGGGTACAGAGATGTATGCTTGTTGGGCGATCTCAGGTCAGGAGGTAGAAAAAAAAATACTCCCAAGATTTTTCTGCACTCCTCGTCCATATACTTGTTTTCTTCAGTTTTACTTTTCTTTGTCCTTCCTCTTGCCCTTTTCGCTGAGGCCCACTCTTTCTCTCTCTAGCTCAACGTTCCTTTTGGACCACATCCTTTCTTTGCTTATCCACAAGGCCTTCCATGGGAACACATAGGCATCCTTTGGAGAAACTGATCCCTTAGTATGAGTGAAACAACTTGGCCGGCTCTGTCTTAACTCGGAAGTGGGAGGTATGGAGTAACCAGCTTGCCAAGGTACCCACAGTCCTTGACATCAGTTAGACCAAGGCTGGGACCACCACTGTTGTTTGGAGCTTATTAGTTCTACTGCTACAGCACACATCATTGGAAAGTATGAAACAAGCTTGAAAGAGGCGGTATTGTTTCTGAGTATGTGGGTCAGCTGGGGGATAGGTACAATAGGCTAGGTAGTTCTGGACTTCTCGATTAGCTCCCTCGTGAACATTCAGCTGGGAGGGACTGATTAGGGTGGATGAATGGGAAATGGCCCTTCCCCACATTTTTCTCTTTCCCTCTGGACTAGTGAGCTAACCCACGTATGCTCTTGTTAACGTAATCACAGAAGTACAACAGAACAAGCAAAAACCTACAAGGTACCTTGAGACCTAGACACAAGATTGGCAGGTTATGCACTATTCAGGGCTGGCCAGGCCTTACTGTAGTTTCAGCACTCACTAGACAGACTCACAATTCAGCAACGCTGTTACACTGCCAGCAAACTTTACTATAGGACAAGGATGTGGATTAAAATCAGCAGTGGTAAATAGGTGCCCAGAACAGGGGCTAAGAGACACAAGGTGCAAGCTTTCACTTGTACTCTCCTCACTCAGTGCTGGATTCTCCTAGTAACACACACAGTGTCCCCAGCCAGGCAAGCTCACTCGAACCTTAGAGTCTAAGGCTCCTGTTTGGGATGGCACATGGGCATGACTGACAGCCACAAGGGCTCCCAGCCCCTTCATAGTCAGGTTGATGCCATGTAGCCCAAGGCCCCCACCATAAGTCACATTGACTATCTGCCACGGTCTAGGTCCCAAGTAAACAGTGACATTCTTAGAAGACAGGCGTTTTCTGAAGACTTGGAGGTTTAGCTTTCAGGAGCCAGAAGCTAGATAAAGGTCAAAACCTTTGGAACATGTAGAGTTGAGATCACCCAGACTTGGTGAGTTAGTTCTTTATTGCACAGGTACCTTTTCCCTCATTCTCTTGACCAAAACAAGTTCTGTGGCTGGACCCCGAGTTAGAGTAGGAGGACACTAGAGCTGTACAGCAAAGGGGATAGAGAGCAGAGGGGTAAAGAATGGGGCCAATGATGCAGTTTAACATGAGAGGACTTGGCTGGGTGAGCCCTGGGCTCACATTTGGGCAGCCATGGTGGCCGTCATGGCCTCAGTGCTCCTAAACCCCTGTGCTTTCCATGTACCATTCTCTACCTTCCCACAACTCTTCATCTACTCAGAAAGTTCGAGCCCAGTCTTCAAGATTTTGCTCCATCATGAAATCCACCCTCAAGCAAAGCTGGTGGTCCTCTCTTGATCAGATGACAATCAAAGTAGTGAATCAGGGCTCCACCTTGTCTAATGCTCTGTAATGAGAAGACAGCTCCTTTACTGTTCTCTCTGTGTGTCTGTTCCCTTCTCTCAATCATCTTCAAACTCAGTTTCACCCAAGACAATGACTTACCCAGCCCCAGGTGTGCTTCGGAGACTCTCAAACCAAGCGTCTGGTTATACTCTTGACCAAGACCTATTCTATGCCACAAGTGGAAAGTACAGATCAATTCTTCTGAATGCTGTTTTTAGTCCCCAGTTGTCACACTGCCCACTCAATTCTTCTCCTCCTACATGCTGAAGCTATATCCACTACTGCACTGAATTAGTTAGAACACTTTACAATTCATGCCTCATTTCCCAGGCTTGTAAAGTGCTTTATGAACAAATATATTGCCTTCTCCTGGGTGCCCAAGGCATGGAGATAGGGTTGTCGTACACATAGTTTGAATCAGAGCAACCCCTGGGCCTCTCTCAAAGTAAAATCAAGCCAACAAATAACTTCATCTGACCCCAAAGATGTCAAGTTCTTCTTCCTAAACATCTCTTCTTCCACGAACCCTACTTAATCCCTTAGTAGGAAGGATTTGTCCCTAGTCTGAAAGGGCCACATGTCCCCTCCATGGAACCCAAGGCTACGGTGCAGTGGTGCCCTATAAATGTTTCCTCAGTGACTACTCGTGATAGCCGGTAGATGGCCTCAAACAGCCTCAGTACCTAAAAGTCAGGTCTAACTTGGGAAGAGAAAGATATCAACTTGAGTTCTGTGTGAGCCCATTCCTGCAGGCCCTAAGCCAAGGGATGGATGCGAATAATAGGCTGCCCCATGAGGATACCAGGGCTGAGATGAAGAGGTTACTGTGCCATGTGAGTGGCCCATGGAGAACTAGATTGCAGGCCTTCTGAGAGTGAGGATTTGTCTTAGGCAGCTTTGTATCTGCAGGGTTCAGTACAATGCCACTCACTCCGAGCTACCAAGACCAAACCAAGTTCTGAGTAAGGAGTAAGAAGCAAGCCAGAAGCCAGATGAGCATGTAAAATAAGGCACTAAAAATGAGAGCTAGGACTGGAACAGTAGGGAACGATGGGAACTAAAACAAAGGAGAAATTGCGTGCCTAGTTCAAAGCTCTAGCTTTCAGGAGTTTGTGACAAGAATGCCTTCCTGGTGGTGTCTGATATTGCCAGATCTTTCTTTTTCTCAAAAGACTTCAGGAATCTCACATTTTTAAAGTGAACTATCCCAATTTTAAAATGTTGGTGACTAGCTAAAAAAAAAAAATTATTCAAATATCACTGAAACTAAATGAAATATGTCCAGAAGTAGTATTTAGTTTGCTGGCTACTTGTTTACGACCTCTGACATGGACTTAGCTAAACAACCAGTGTACTATAAGGACCATGGTTCAAAGATGCAGCCTGCACTGATCGTGTTGTCACATCCCTGAACAATGGCTTCCTCTGAAAGAGCTCACCCACATATCCAGTGCAAAGCTCCTCTATTCTTAAAGGTGTGACATGTCCCCATTCCCTTCTCTGGCAAATTAGTTGAATGAGGGGGTGAACTTAACTCAGAGACACTGCACATCTGGCTGGAGCTGGGTGGCAAAGCGCTCCCAGGGTCTGCTGTCAGCAGCCCAGATGCCATTGGTGCTCTAGGACATTTTCCTGTACCCAGTGCCTCTCACTCCCTGGAGCCATCGTGGAACCAACAGCTGGCAAGTTCTGGCCGAGCCCAAGCTGAGATGGAGAGAGCAGGAGAACTTGTGTGGGCAGCGCTTTAATTCCAAAAGGATTTTCTTAGCTGGGCATTTTCTGTGGCTCCCAGTCCAACAGCTGTATCCAGTCCACTACCCAGACTTCAGGAAAAAGAGGTTTTCTGGTCCCCTCAGTTCCTGCCTGTTGTGTGAAGTTGGGCGATTCACACCCCTCTCTGTCACTGGTTCCTCACTGTGGAAGATTATTGTCAGTGATTTTTCAACAACAGCCTAACTTTTTGTTTTGAATTCTGATGAAGCTTTATAGCAAAACCTCAGAACAAAACAAATACAATAAGGGAGTTTCCTCCAGAGCTGCAATACTTCTAAGCTTAACTGGGCCATGTCAGTGCTAACCAAACCTCTCATGCAGGTTCTAGGGAACAGAGTTTGTAAACTACAGGCTATGCTTATTTTCAAAGTCTTTTCCAACTGAGAAATACCCTTCCTGAGACATTTATGAGCAATTTCCTATAGATTTCCCATCAGTTCACGTTTTAACTACAAGTGCAAGGAAGGCTACTTCTCTGAGGCATTTACTGGAGTCTGCTGGTCTTACAGAGATTAGTAGATGCTGTAAAGGGTAATAGCTGTGATCTCCAATTCTCAAGAGTCAGGATTAAGGTTGACCTGGTGAGGGAAGGAGGGGAAGTCAAAAAGAAAAAGAACCTTGGCCATATTCTTACCCTGTATTCTAACCCACAGCTTCTCTCTGATAAACACAGAAGTCTCACTGGCTGAAAATTTTTAAGGAATCTCCAACCTCTGCTTTGAGAAGCTTTTGTCCAGCTTTGTCCTCTGTAATTTGTATTATGGACAGTAGGTATTGTTTTTCATGTTCCAAATAAAAATTATGTAACAATAGTGCCTAATTGGCCTTGCTTTTTCCACAATACATAACTGTCACCCCAGAGAATGTGATATACTGTGCTTCCTCCACTTCCGTTTTTCAGCTCAACCCTCATGGCAATCCCTTCAAAAAAAACAAAAAAGAAAACCAAACTTGATTCTTTTTCATTTATACTTGAGCCTTTCCTCACTTACAAAGCTTGAGGACATAATATGTAGAGCGTGGGCAAAAGATTCATGAGTTTAGAGATGAAATAAAATTGGCTTTGAGTTGGTCATTGTTGGAACTGGGTGATGGATACAGGAGGAATTCTTTTACTGTCCTGCCACTTTTATATGTTTTGAATTTTTCTATAATGAAGACGTTAAAATGAAGATAATGTTACCTACTTGTGCGTTGCCACTGAGTATTTTACCCAGTCACAGACCTAGAAGCATTTGACAAGCACTGTCATTTGCTGCAACACATATGACCTTGGCTCCCATGCCAAATTTGTGCTTCTCAACTGTAACTTTTTGTTGCACCAGAGTCTCACATGGCGCCCCCTTAGGAGAGATGACAAATTGCAGCAGTCCGAATCCTTGATTCCAGAAAGCTCCTAAAACTAGGTTCTTCCTGCAGGAGCATTAGAAGCTGGTCCAGGCCAATGAAAGTCTACTCTAATCCCAGATACAAAGGGTTAACTCTCTGCTCCTGGAATGACTGGACTTCCCTTTGGTCATGCTGCTTTTCAGGCTCCTGCCTGTACAGTATAGGTTTATGTGACTTTGAATGGAGTTCTTGAATACACGGTGGGTGAGCCTAGCAGCATGTTTGAGAACTGGTTACAGTTGGCTTCTCCATCAGGCTGAAATAACTCACCTGAATTCTGAGTGGTGTGAAGAAAAGGCTCCAGTGAACAGGGTGCTCAGAGGATGCACCTTTCGGATGCTGGGACCTCCCAAATGTAGAACCAGTAGGGCAGGTTCTTCACATGGGGGAAGAGGCAGGGAGCAGGGTACCAAGAGGACTGATATCCAAATAATCCGTCTGTGGCAAAATGGCTTCCAACTAATTAAACATAGAAAAACCTCTTTTAAGAAAGATAATCCTATTGGATCAACTTGCAAGATTTTTCCAGCCAGCTTCTGCCTCTCAGAGCTTCAATTAAAAGCTGTTTAGCAGATGGTAGCTCTGAGTCACAAAGTTAGATTCTCTGGCAACCATATATGCTTTTTTGGTTTCCAGGGGATCCTTGCCAGGTATGGCCTTGGAAGATGGGTGAGAGTGCTTCCTTGGTGTGAAGCTCCACACCAAGCTGAGCACACCAATAACAGGGACTTCACAACCATCAGTGTGATAGCAGGAAGGCCTTCCAGTTCACTCAGAAATTTGGAGGCCCTGGAAGTCATAGTACATCCAGGCTGGAATGGAGCTTAAACATCATCTAGTACAACTCCTTTGTACAGAATGGAAAAATTGAGGCTCAGGAAAGATTACATGTGGTCTGTTTAACCTTGTCTAGTAAGGGCGAAGCAGAGTCAGGAGAAGGACCACTAAGGCACTTCTCTGTTTAATTTGGGACTTACATTCATAAAGTTGCCTGTGCCTTTCCTTACGCTCATGGAACATCTTAAAGGCTGTGCCAAAGACCTGACAGATTGGTCAGGAAAAGCCCTGGTCGCACGTCAGCCTCCTGCCTCATCGCAGAACAGAACCAGGACCCTCAGAAATGAGACTTCATCACTCCTCTTCTTGAAGCTACCTGGTAATGTTGCAGTTATAGCTGCTCCCGGGTGCTGTCAAAGAGAGACAAAGGCAGGCACTAAACGTAGTCTAAGATAGATTTTATTTTTATAACGTTACTATAGTAAAGGAGAGATCTCAGGAGAGCCTGAGCTCAACCAAAACAAAAGGTCGAAGGGCTATGCTAAGGGGAAATGTTGGGGTGAGCTGAAGACAGAGTTCTGAAGGATGTTAAGTGGGAGAGTTGATGTGATTGGGCCGCCAGTGTTTGCCAACCGGTGCTCACTGAAGTTGAACTTTTACCCTTCCACAGGCCCTGGGAGATAGGGTGGCGGGAGCTTTGTCTTTCTTGATGTTTACATTTCAAAATTATGGAGACATTTCTAGGAGGTAGGAGAAAATCAAAAAGAAAAGCAGAAAAGACTTAGAATTGTTACTTTTTTTTAAAAAAGTAAATACTGAGAAAAGGGAGGTCATGGCCTATAATTAAGTTTTGCAACTTTGCCTTTGGCACCTATGCCACTTAATTCTAAATGTGCCAGTTAACATTAATTGTCTACTTGACTGGATTAGAAGACTCCTGAAGAGGTGGTTGGATCGTGGGGGCACTGTACTCAACAGTGAATTAATCCACTGATGTTTGTAGCTGACCGTGCTGTTCAGTAGTGGGGCCCAGGTGGGGAGAGTGGGTTAATGGGGGCTTGCCTTTAGAGGGTACGTCTCCTACTGACACTCAGTGTGCTCTGTTTCCTGACTGCCATAAAGCAAGCAGCTTTGCTTCACCATTCCCTTCTACCATGATGTTCCTCCCTTGCAGCCAGCCGACCATGGACTGAAACCTCTGAGCCAAATACATCTGAACCCCCCCACCCAAGTTGTGAATGCCAGATATTTTGTCTCAGCAGTGGGAAATCTAACTAATGCAGCAGCACTGACTTTTCTTTGTCAGGAATTTAAGAGGCCTGGAGTTGTCATCCTAGGGATGTGGCCAGGAGCTGTTAAAAACTATACTGGTGTTGTTTCGAGGCTCTCAGTGTGGCTGGTGGGTGAAGCAGTTCGTGCTGAGAAGCTGTAGTTCAGAGTTTGTAGGCCAAAGTCAAGGATTAGATGAGAGAGAATTCAGAGAAGCCAGACTGGTTTGGTCAAGGACAGAATGTTTGTCAGTGCTGCTGAGACTTACATTTCTTAGACAGTCAGGAAGTTGATCAAAACATTTCCCCGTATTTCTCACCACAGTTTAAGCCTATTTCTTCTCATTCTTTTTGGTGGCTGGAAGTTGTTTCACCTTTTAAGTTGTCATGGATTTTATTTATTTACAATCAACCTTCCAAAACTTTAAAAAAAATTGTTTGGAATCAGAGCCCACATTACATCTTTTAAAATATCTTCCATTTGTATCTTGTAAGTAGCTGATTTGATAATCATCGATTCACCAAAACCCCAAATTACGTTACCTGTTCAGTGATGCTACCCAACTTTTCTTGGCCCATATGCTATTTCTGTAATCATATCCTTGGCTGTTTTTCTCTGAACTGTCTTCTAACATGAAAGGCCAAAATAAGATTAAATCTCACACCTCTGTGTAGTCCATGAACATTCTTTCAAAAAGGTCTCCAAGAATTCAATTCATCGCACTTTTGTATAGGTGTTAGGTCCTGGGGAGAAACAGATCAATAGGTCAAGGTTCCTGCTCTTAAGTGAGTTAATCAGGAAGACTAACAAGTAAATCCATAATTCCAGTATTCAGTGAGAAGCTCTGTACAGGAGGTGTGTGCACAAAAGGGTGCGGGACAATTTAGTTTGGGTAAGAAATGGCTCGACAATCTTCCAGAAGAGAAGGAAAATCCTGGGAGTCGTTTATCCAGGGAGAACTCTTAAAAGAAATCTATAAAGAAAAAAGATGAGAAGTGAAACAAAGATGTGGTTTCTACTGATGTCTAGCCTTAGCCTCATCCCAAGGTAAGAAGAGCTGGATGTGAGCTGTCCCATAGAGTTGTCCCGCCTACCTCAAGGAGGGCAGGCCTTTTACCCCCATCAATGTCAGTGATTGGCTGCAGGCTACTCCCAGGGGATAACGTGCCTAATCTTCTATATATTTCTGTGAGCAGAGGATGGGTCTCTGGAGAAGAATATAGCTTGAAGTGTTAGAAACCAACACTCATAGAAGTGGATTAGGTGTACCTGCCTGGCTATCAGAGGCCTGGGTAGGGCACTGTCAGTCTCTACTTCAATTCCTAAGATCATTCTTGAAGAGGAGGGCATTCAAAATTAATTATATGGGGGGCTGGGGATGTAGCTCAGTGATTCCAGCACCTGCCTCGCAAGCACAAGGACCCAAGTTCGATCCCCGGTACAAAAAAAAAAAAAAAAAAAAAGTTTGGGCCAGGGATTTAGCTCAGTGGTTCCGCTGCCTGCCTCACAAGTGCAAGGACCCATGTTCAATCCCTGGTACCAAAAAAACCCCAAAAGGATAGAAATTTTGCCGGGCATGGTGATGCATGCCTGTAATCCCACCACTCGGGAGGCTGAGGCAGGAGGATTGCTGTGAGTTTGAGACCAGCCTGGGCTACATAGTGAGTTCCAGGTCAGTCTCAATTACATAGTGAGACCCTGTCTCAACAACAACAACAACAACAACATCAACAACAAAATTAATTATATGGGAGGGGAAATGGTAGAACACTCCAGGGCAAAGTTACAGAGGGAAGAGAGATTGTGATTCATCTGGGCAAACAAATTGGTATAAGTGGCATGGAGAAAATGGTGGATATTTTGGAAGGGGGTGTGTGTGTGTGTGTGTGTGTGTGTGTGTGTGTGTGTGTGTGTGTGTGGCAGCCCTTATTAGTGGGCAGGAACACCTTCCCCATGTTGGGTAATTGTCTATCCTTCCCTTATTGTGCAGGAAACTGGAGTGAGAGTCACTAGAGAAACTGACCCAAGAATGGACAAGAACTCTTGCTAGACACACCAGAGATGACTCGCTGAGGTTGTATATAATGTTTGAGCAGCTCCAGTTCACAAGGTTGTATTAGCTACTCCCCTCTCCCCGCCATAGTAGGAGATATCAAATCATCTCAGGCCCATTTCTTAGAACAGGTACTTGATTTGTTCCCCTTGCACTGAAACATCTGAAAAGCCCAAATATGACGATTCATTGTTCTTGCTCCATGATTTTATTTTTTACAAAGCCTATCAGTCTCTCTGAAGGTTATTAGCTGGCTCTGTCCCTGAATCCATTCTCTTCCAGCCGAGCTGTTTGCTCAGAACCTCAAGTTCTGTCTTACATTCGTAAATTGATAAATTGGTATTTTGTTCTGTTTTTCTCTCTTCTCCAGAAGTTATTTTCTTTTGAAAAGATATTCAGTGTGGTAGCCTTTGTACCCCTCTGGGACCTCGGTCTTCCACATATTCTCAAAAGCAGTAGCTGAGTGTTTTGCAATAATACTTGTCAAATGCTTAAATCTCCCACTTTTTTAGTTTACATACAGCATGTTCAGACGATCATTCCTCTGTGGCGTTGTTTAACACACACCTTCTCACCCACACCAGAACAAGTAACTGGTGTGTGATTGCAGTTTAATCTTTTACAAATGCACCAATGAAGCTGCATGACTAAGAATCTGCCCTGAACTTAACTGTTAAGGGTGTCAAAAGATTATGCAGGGCTTTTACTGCAATAGTGAGTTGGGGTGTGCTCAAAAGTGATTGGATGGAAGCAAACTAATAAATGGTTAGAAACAGTTGTGAAATAATAGGTTGATAAATGCAAAACAAATTACAAAACAGCATGCAAATGCCTAGATGTCTTGCATAAACAGGATATCCTTTCTCATTTTTCTAACAACCTAAATAATGTTTTCATATCCTCAGGAACTGTTGCAATTTCCATTTTCACTTTGGCGGTGTTTCTATATACTTTTCAGGCCATTATATGCATTTTAATTTGCTCTTTCATTCTATAAATACATTTTAAAGTTCTTGTGTGGCAGTCACAGTCAGGTGCTGGAAATAAGATGGACAAGGCAGTCAGGGTCTCAGCTCTCACAGAGCATACAGTTTAGAAAGAAAAACAGACACTGAGGAAATTATTTAAATAATATTTATATAACCACAGTTGGGATGTTTAAGTAATTAAAAAATAGTACAGTTGGCATTCATATTCACAGGTTCCACATATGTGGATTCAACCAAACAAGGATCAGAAATGTTCTAGAAAAAATTATAACTGTACTGAATATACACAGACTCTCTTCCTTGTCATTATTCCCTAAATAATACACAGGAACAACTATTTATGTGGCATTTACATTGTATTAGTTATTGTAAGTAACCAAGAGACGGCTTGAAATATACAGGAGGATGTGCATAGATTATATGCAAATATTATACCAATTCTGTACGAGACTAGAACATTTGTGGATTTTGGTATTCACAGAGGGTCCTGGAAACAATCACCACAGTCTGAGGGATGACTGTAGTTCTGATTATCTATTGCTCTAAAACAAGCTATCCCAAACCTTAGTCATGAAACATCAATAAGACTACAATATTGATACTCTCTCAACAGGGCTAGCTCAGCCCTGATGAACTTGGCATCGGTTAGGGTAGTGTAACAGCTGGCTCTGGAATTGCTTGCAGGAAAACTCATCACCTGTCCAGCACTTGATGGCTGCCTGACAGGACCTCAGCTAGAGCTACCAGAACACACACCTATGGCCTTTCCATGTAGCCTGGGATCCACCACGCCATGGCAGCCAAGCCTTTGGAGTATGTCTTGAGGAGTGGGGTAGAAGCCAATTCCTTTATGACCTAGACTGAAGTCACACATTGTCACTTCTGCCACATTCTATTCAGTAATGTGGTCACAAATGTCTGCATAATTTCAAAGCGAGGAGAAATAGACAATACCTCTTGATAAGGAAGTGGCAAAGTTTTAGAATAGCATGTAGAAACAAAAGTATGGCTATGGCAATTTTTAGAAAACACAATCTTTTGCAAGTGACTACAGTAAGTCCCCAACTTACAAATGAGTTCTGTTTCAGCAGAACATTTATAAGTCTGATTTGTTCATAAGTCTACAATGTGAGTCGTGTATACCATTGATACAAATATACAATGTAAAGCATAAAAAGACTTCACACTGGGCCGGGGATTTAGCTGAGCCGTTCAGTGGCCTGCCTTGCAAGCGCAAGGACCCAAGTTCAATTCCCGGTACCAAAAAAACAAACAAACAAACAAACAAAAGACTTCACACTTTCCATGATCTTGTCCTTTAGAATTGCGCCAATGGTTAAATGATTCGTGTTATAAAAATGAGTGTTGTCTACCGTCTTTCGACTCAGTCCAGTCTCTCCATTATTTTCACTTTGGTTTCCATGGTTATTGCTTTGCACTTCCTAGAGGTCCCGTCCACATCACCACTGCTTTTCCCCTTGCTTCCGGACATCCTGGGCTCTGACTGAGCACTGTACCACTGTACATCATCGCACTGTACAGGAAGCACAGAGCAGCACAATTGCAACAATGTCCGGCAGACATGTGAGCTGTTTTCTGTGATCTGTTAGCATCTACAAATGTTCATAATGTGAGTTCTGCTTGTATCTGTGAAAGCCTGCAATTTAGATGTTCATAATTTGAAGGGCTGAGGATGTAGCTCAGTGGTACCACGCCTGCCTGGCAAGCACAAGGTCCTGAGTTTGATTCTGGAGCCACAAATAAATAAAATAAGTGTTCCTAAATTGCAGACTTATTGTATGAGAAAGCTAAGACCAAGAAGTGGCTTTTGAGCTGGGACCTAGAGTATGGGTAGGAGTTAGCCAGATGAAGGTAAAAGGAATGGTGGAGGAAAGGAACCCTGTAGACTGTGGGTCTGGATGCAGAAGGAGCTTGGCTGTAGGAAGTTCTGAAAGGAAGCCAGTGCATCTGCAATGCAGGGAGCCAAGGGTCATTGGCAGAAACTTGCAACAATTTAAAGTGCACAGCCGGAACCCTTGAGGTGCCATCAGATAACACCCTGCTTGACCAACCTTTGCTTAGTCTCTTTCTTATCTGCTGATGCATAACAAACGATCCCAAACTGACTGGCATACAAGAGCAACGTCATTTTTATTATTTTCTCTCATGGTGCTGGGAGTGACTGGGTTCAGCTCAGCACTGTTGTTTGGGGTCTCTCGTGGCTGTAGTCTAAAGGAGGACAACCTTCCTCACTCCTATGTCTGGTATCTGGCTAGGAAGAAGAGCTGGTGCTCCTCATGCCCGTCTTTCCCTCTCCCTGTCACTCTCTGGTGTCTCCATCCCTGCAGCCCCTCGGTGGTCAGACTTGTCATAGGATGGCTGATGACTCCCAGAGTGAATATCCCAAGACAAACCAGGAGAAGGTGCCTTGCCTTTTCTGACCGAGACACTTGGACATCAGACAGTGTCCCACGGGGATCATTCAGAAGGTCACAAAAGCAGTTCATTTTCAAGGGGAAAAGTCATAGACTCCTTGATGTGGGGAGTCTCAAAGAATTTTTAGACATGGCTTTAAACCAGCCCACCTAAAGTGACCATCTAACTCACTGTGTACAGCAGGATACTTTTGAGAATCAAAGTGGGTATTTCTCAGGCATGAACTAGGGCTCTCCTTTGTAAACCAAGACTTTTGGTCACCTTAATGTCCAAACATTAAGATCACCAAGCGTTTTTAAATTCCTCTGTCCTCCTGACATTCATTTTGTCATTTTTAAACATACCATTTACTCACTAGAATTCATGCTTAAAATTTTATTTTGTTTCTTGATCATTTCTTATAGATCGTGTGTATTATGTTGAGGTTGGTTTTTCATGATGCGTCTGGGACTTGAGAGCTACAAACCTTGTCCCATAAAATCTTTCATGCAAACTCGGACAATCACCTGGTAACTGTGGATGGATGTACTTAGGATGCCTCCTCTCTGACGAATGTCAAGCAATAGAAGAATTTGCTTCAATAAATCCTTCCAGAAATTTTCTTGGCTTGGTGGTTAAAAAACACAGTGATGACTCATCGGTTGAAATCAAGTCCATGATCCCAAAAAAGTGTTTTTATAAGAAAAAAGTGGGTGTTTTTTTCTTTCCCCAAGGGCAGACTGCATAATATTTGGTGCTTCTCTTTTCTGAGTAATGTATTCCAGCTCAGTGGAAAGTGACAGCTTCAGACTTGAGCCAATAATGTTTTATTTTCAGAGCTATGCATAGTACTTCCTAGTCCAAGGATCTGCTCTTGCCTACAGCCCTATGGAGAGTTCAGCCATCAGACCATTTCACTCCAACACAATCCCCATTTACCTAGCTTCCCCTTGGCCAGCTACCAGCCTATTTATTTATTTATTTATTTTTAGGACCTTGGAGCGAAAAGAATGCCTACAGAGAGCATTTGGAAATAGCATCCAAGTATAAATAAACAAGTCAGATTTATTGTCCTTTACCAGCCTAAACATAGTTAATTCATCTCTCCTGATCCTGCTCTCCACTCAGGAGTCTTTATTCTTTACACAGCTCTCTACCATAAAACATTTTTTCTGTTCTTTCTTTCCTAAGACTCAATAGTTCTGAAAGAAAGCGATGTGATTTGTTTCTGATACAAAAAAAGCAAACATCCCATTCTGTTCCATTTGTCTCCTTGAAAACTTCCACAAATATCTCCTTGATAGAAGACAAAAATGCAAAGCTTACCCTCATTTTTATTCACAACTAAAACACAGAAAAAGCTTGTGTGACACCTGAGCAGTACTCTGGAATGCATATGTTAAGAGAATATTTGAGAGAGATATATCAAGAGAGGTAAAACTAGGAACACAGTTAAAAGAACCAGAAGGGATGAAAACAACAGCTTCTCAGAACAAAAGTGGGACTGGACTCAGAGTGACCAGCTGCTATCGACCAAAGTATACTCTTCTGAAGTATTTGTGTTAAAGCCCTAACCCCCAGTGTGAATGCATCTGGAAATGGGCCTTTGGGAGATACTTAGGCTCATATGAGGTCATAAGGGTGAGGTCTTCATGGTAGGGTTAGTGATGTTACGAGAAAGATAGCAGAACACTCGCTTCTGCTCTGGTGTGCACTTCTCTTTCTCTTTTTCTCTCCATCCCCAGCTCTGTCTCTCTCCCTTCACACCCTACACCTTGGCATGCGAGCACACATTAATGAGAAAACAAGATATATAAGAGAAGTAGTTATATATATGATTAGTAAAGAGTACAGTAATAAGACAGACATCTGTAAGCCAGGAAGAAGGTCTTGCAATAACCCAACCCTGGTGATACCTGGATTTTGGACTTCCATCCTCCAGAACTCATCAGTTGGATGATGTTTTGTTATGGCAACCTGAGCTGACCCAATGGTGCCACTTTTCCTGTGATTTCGTGGTTTCTTGGGGTGTGGAACTTCTAGTTTGTCAGTTCACAGAGTCCCAGGAAGAGGATGAGCTGGTCACCCTAACTGGAGTTTTCTACCCCTGCTCTATCCCTAAGAGCCAGGTTCTGCTCTGGAGCAGGAGAAGGTCAAGGTGAACGCAGTCAGACTTGGTCGGGGGGGGGGACAAGGCCAGAGGGACCATCAGCCATCTAGACTTCCAGATTCAGGGTGCTAGCAGATGTTTGGGATAAAAATGTGGCCATGACTAACATATTGTTAATGGCACAAAATATGGAGGTAGAACCCTACTCTACAGTGAAGGGATCATTTAACTTTGTAAAGCGAAAAAGGTTCCATCCAAACACTTAAGAACCCTTTTGGGTTCTTCCAAATAAGAGTTCTTAGGAGTTAGGAGTGATCTAGACAAATTCCAGGGCTGCTCCTGTTCTCTCATGGCTCTGTTCTACCCCCTCCCCCATTGGGCATTGACTATTGAAGTCCTCATTGACCCTCTCTACCCCACATGTTTTCAGACCAAGAGGTCAGTCTCACTGTGGTGTATAGAACAGAAATACCTGGATGGGCAGGGATGGGGTGGGAAGTTACTTATCAGGGCAGAGGCTCCTCTCCAGATCTCCATTTTCAAGGGGAAAAATATCTAAAAGTTGGAAAAAAGATGCATGATTTTTCTTGGCAAGCCTGCCTAAGGGTCATTCAACTTTCTGGTAAAATTACTATTTACTCAATTTGATATAATATAATTCTTTCAGATTAGATCTAATTCACTGAAATGGTGACACAAAGATTTTTTACATAGTAATAGTGCTAATAATTTGTGCCTATACAGATAAAAATGACTTCTGTTAGGTAGTGGAGATAGCCCTAAAGACTGGAGTTTCATTGCCCTGAAGAAAACAACTGTTATGGCTTGTATCTAGATCCTCTCCCCTGCAAAGCCTCATGAGGTCATGGGTAGGGCTTTTAGGATGTGACTGGATCTAAGGTGTTTGATACCAGGGTTAAGGGCATGATACTAGGACTAAAAGTGTGTAATTACTAAAGTAGTTTACTAATTGGTTAAGCATGGTCTCATTGTGGGTAATGGGAAGACCCACCCTGGCTGTGCATGGTACACCCAAAAGGCTGGAAGGGAAAAAAGGGAGAGGCAGGCCGCTGCTGCTGCTTTCTTGCCTTGTGCCTGTAATTCCATGAACTATTTCTCCTCTGCTTTGCTCTTCTTCCATGTTGCCCTGCCTTGGAGCCAGCCAACTATGAACTGAAACCTTTACAAACTGTGAGCCAAAATTAATCTCTCTTCCTTTAAGTTATGGGTGTCAGGTATTTTGTTTCAGCAACACCAAGACAACGACCAATTTTATATCTTAGAGATTTATTCCATAATTTTTCTTTA